TACCCACGCTTCATCTACGGTTACGAAACGAGCGCAAACAGAATCTGGATCTTCTTCAATTATTGCTAAATTTAGCTTTGAAATGTTTCTTTCGACCGTCTGTTAACATTCGAGGAACCCAGTGCTCGACCAAAGCCTCTTGGTAGAAGAGTCAAACCTATAACAATAGAATATTTGATATAAAAACAATTATCTCTGCCATTGTACTCAAATTCTCACCTTAAACCTTACCCAAACTGCACTTGGCGATGTTGATCGTGATGCCATACCAGTTTAGCCGTCCAAATACCTGATCCAGGGGTTTGAGGTGCTGTCTTTCATTATCACCGCTGACACAGATGTCATCAATGAATGTATAAACAAAATCCAGATCTTCAAATACAGTATTCGTGAACCTTTGAAATGTTTGTGCTCCGTTACGCATTCCAAACATCATTCACGTAAATTCAAACAGTCGAAATGGTGCTGCAAAAAAATGGTAGCCTCTATTTATATCTATTTTAGATAACATTTTTTTTTTACCTGACAACTAATAAGTAAAGTCCTGCAATCTAGGAATCTGCTATCTGTAGGGTTCCGTAACTGCATTTAGCCGTCTATAATCCCCACACAGACATATTTCCCCATTTTTCTTGAGTACAATATTGTTGCGCGCCACTATTAATGTCTTGTACATGGCAACACTAGTTAACAATAGCGCCCTCTAATATCGAGTAGCAGAACTACGAGAGTCAAGATCCATCTAGAAATATCGGGACCGATATGTACTCGAACATTCTAGATGTTTCTACAGTAGAAGGTTTTGGAAAATATCTGAGGCCCTATATAAGGCCGGTTTATACCGCGACCGAGACAGTATTGAATTGGCGATATAAACGAATACTTTGAAGCAATATAACTGCAAAATAAAGTGATCAGTAGTACAATTGTGTTTTATTATTAGTGTGGTTTAAGTTATAATTAGTGCTCTGTAATTAAAGTGTCGATTTTGGTAATTCACTCGGCAGTTTTTAATTGTCTCGAACCCAAAGCTCGTAACAATATGTAAAGAACAACACAACAATCCAAGGACTCTTTCAAGGCTGATAGATCCCTACTTCCTGCATTAACCTAAACTCTTCTTTGGCTTTCTTATAACGGTCGGGAGATAAAGGTCTAACGAAAATATGACGTCCCTTTGTCTTTATATGATGGCACCCATTATGTATAGCTAACTCTTTGAAACAAATAGGCTTGGTAATTTCCGGATATTTGCTTAGCATTGAATGATAAAGATGTCTCTCGTCCACTGTCTTCAGTGCGGGTTTTCTGGAATTAATAATAAACGCATTAACGTTCAAATTTACCAATTTATCTACAAGTTTTCTCGACTTAATATCAACGAATAATCCCTAACAATTCAAAAAATCAGCCCGTAATATTGGTTGTCGAATATCTGCTATTACAAAAGTCAATTTAAAAGCTCGCCGCAAACCTAAATTTAAATCAAGGGTTCTTATTCCATAGGTTTTAATCTCGGTACCATTTGCGGCGTACAACTTGTAATCAGAGCGCTCTTTATAACTATACTTATTTTTACACGGAATAACTGAAATGTTAGCACCTGTGTCAACGAGGAAACGCAGCCCGGTGTTGGAGTCTGTGACACATAGCCGGTGTGGTCTCTGCACCGCGCAAGCTCCGCATAGCCTACACGGCTGCTAGTTTTCCGGCTGCTTTTTCCATGTGCATGGCTGTTCACATTGGCGTGCTCTCTCTCGGTAACGGAAGTGATACGAACAGAGCCAATCGGGACTCCCAGGTGTTCGTCGGTTGGAACTTGAACGAGGTCCTCTAAAGTTTCGATAACGAAAAGTACTTCTTCCTCTTTGCTGGTGATCACGACTGACCTGCCTCCCTTGTCTGAGTTCCATAGTGTTTAATCTCGAAGTTAGTTTTGCTACCTCCACTAAAATTAATGTTGACGTACTCTGGTCACTCGTGGCTGGTGATGTTACCTCTGCTACTTGCATGCGTCGTGTAGCATCCATGATCTTATCTGCTGTTGCGGCCAAACTATCCAAGCTTTTGCTATCCGCGACTGCTAATACTGCAGTTTTGCCACAGGAGACGAATTGTGTGGTCTGGTATCTAACCACGTGCTAGTTCTTTCATACGACGTAAAAGTTGTGATGGCCTTTGTTCCCCCAGCTCCATCTCACTCAGAAGTTTCTGTAGTTGTCTCGTGGCTGGTTCTTCTTAAATTGACAGCAAACGCTCGTTTAGTGCTTTGTATTTCCCTGATGTTGGTGGTTAAATTACTAAATCCGTTATCAGTGCGATAGCATCTTTGTTTAGCTTTCCAATCACAATGTCGTACTTTGCCTGATCACTTTGTTTTGATCAACTTTTGTGGCTTCAATTTAGCTACAATTTGTATAAACCATAACCATGGCTGGTCCGTCCAAAATTCAGGTAACCGTGTGGAAAGAGATACTGCTCCCAAATCCATGCTTTGCTCAGGTGTTGAATTGCCAATACCCAGTATCATGGGCGTCATTTCATTTTCTGTTGTCAACGAAATTTTACAAAAACTTTAAAGAAAATTCACTCACTTTACTAGGTGAAAACCGATCACGAATATTTATACCCACACGCTTACCTTTATCGCCGTGACGTGAGTTGTTCCCTATTGCGCAGTAACAATATCGGACACGTTGCACCGAATCACCAAGTTCAGAGTTCGCAGTCTGAACCAATGTGCGAGATGCGCGTGAATGTGCAATGTTGTTGGCTAATAATGTACTAGTTACTAATGCCTGATAACCTCGCAATATGACTCACAGCAGGTGCCGAAGATACCTATCGGGTTCAGTGATTAAAATCTCAAAAGTTCCTCATGTGCTATTCAGAAATTAAATTTACAGGTTAAGCTATATATTACGGGCGATACAATAAATTTTATATTTCCTACTTGGTAGCCTATACCTAGCGTGGGCTGTGACGGGGAATGACTGGCGTTCGCCGTCGAGCGGACTCCGGATACAAGTGTAAAATGTCAAATCAGCAAAATTTATGTAACTACCGTGTCCCTACAATCTAATTATAAAACCAGAAAATATGTCTGACTTATAAATTCAAACAAAGTAAAACAAACAACCATCGATGTATAAACCTTAAAGTATTTGAATTGTTTAAACGTGATAGAGCCATGCTGCAGCTATATTAGTAGTGTAGTTGTAGCACGAATGGGTCGGCTCGACCGGGGAAGGACCACGCACTCACAGAATACCAGCGTAAAATGGTAGCTTGACATTGCTGTGTTTCGTATGGTGAGTGTTGAGAACCGGAGACCCGTTTTACTGGAAAAGAGGCATTCTATCTTAGCCCTCACGGGTGAAGACGCATCTGCATTTTGATTCTTTATTGAGGATAAATGTAGATGTCTATGGATCACAGCATCCACTTACTATCAGGTGGACTGTGTGCTCGTTTGTCATCCCATCCTATAAAAAATAGTACTTGGATATAGAACTAAGCGCGGACCATACATTTCAATGTACGATAGCAACCCGGTTTTGTCAATCGCAATTTGAAATACCAACGATGAAGGAAAATATCCTGAAAGCTTTCGAATGAGATGTCCGCCACCGTGCTGGTTCTATTAACTCGTTTAAAAATTGTACCAACAAAATTATTTTAAAATGAAATATGTTTAAAAAAACGTCCCGCTGGATTTCTTCCCAGGACTCTGTCCTGTATTTACCGAACCAGTGGTAAATAAATAAATAAATAAGTATTATGTAATTATCTATATTGAATAAAAATTATTCTATTCTATTCTAATTGAAGTTGCAGCATAAATAGGTCGGCTCAAACGAGGAAAGCCCTCGCTTTCAGAAAATACCAACGTAAAACAGCTGATTAATACCACTTTGTTTCGTATTGTGAGTTTAGAGCACCCGAGACTACTTTTTACTGGAAACGAAGCATTAAATCTTGGTCCTCAGGGGTGGCAGCGCATCTGCATTTTCTTTCTTAATTGAGCCATCTGATGGACTGCGAGCTCGTTTATCATCCTTATTCTTTAAAAAACGCACTGGTTGTACAAACTTGTTTTCAAGGTGTGAACTAATTTATAATAATTTTATAAAACGGCTCGTTAGCGCAGTGGCTAAGCGTTTGGTCGCGGGGCTGCGACCCGCGGGTTCGAATCCCACACGGAACTAGAATTGTGTATGGCCTACAAATAAATGTTCCGGGTCTAAATATGTGTCCTTGTGCAATTTATATATCTATACCACCTCTACAATAATAGAGAAAATCTTAGTGTAATAATAATAATAATAATGTCTATTATAAAAGAAACAAATATTTTTTCTTTATTATAAGGCTGCAGGTAGCCATTTTATTTTTAATACGTCATCATTCGATGACCAACCGAATTCTTCCATATTCTCCCTGTACAAATTTTCACGGCACGGGATGAAATCAACGATTTAGGTAAATAATACCTGTTAAAACTTTTCACAGCACGGGATGACATCAACGGTTTAGGTAAATACTTGATCAAATTGTTCACGGCACGGGATGAAATCAACAATGTAGGTATTTAATCAATTTGTCAAATTTTTACTTAACATTTCATCATGAAGTCAGAATCTAAATACTTATTGTTTCTATTTAAAAATACTACGAAACATTTAAATAAATTATACATAATTCTGATCTGGCAAGACACTAGCACATTAGGAGTTACTGTTATCGATACAGTCCATTAAAAATGCACTGCTGAACATCGATCTCACCCATAGATTGCCTCATAGGAGAGATATACGCCGCTGTTCATCTCCTGACTCGTTTCCCGGTGTCGCCCCTTGCGACACCCAAGGGACGAATGGTGTAGTGGATATTCTTTCACCGCCAGTACACGGTTACGGACTTAAAGAATTAGCTATTTCAGTAAAACACTTAATTAACTTTGGTATACATATTTATTTCTATAATTTAAAAAATATTTTTTATTTTTTTCTATCGGACGGCAGTAAAAACGCCACAGCCACACCACCTGTTAATGAAAAAATTGTTTAATTGATTACATTCATTGTCCGACCAGATTGCCTTATGCAGCATTGCCTGATGCAAACTTGGTGAAGTGTGAACACCTCAAATAATTTTGAGCACTAATTGTATACTGCAATAAATAAATATCCGGAATTTTAGCACCAAAAAAACATGGGCTTTCAATTCCAGGCCGTTAATGGGTCAGGAGATGCTAAGAGTCCCTAAGAGATGACAGAATACCACCATAAATTGGACCTAACATGGACGCAGTATGCGGCACTTATTAACTTTGATTTTTTTTTTAAACCTTTATTTATTTTCCATACTAGGATATTCTCCTGTATCTCGGGGGCAGTTTTCATACACAGATTTCACAGGGACAAACATCCAGACCCAGAATACAATTATTTGTAGGCCATACAAATACTTGTTCCGTGCGGGATTCGAACCCGCGGCCCTTAACGCTGCAAGTCATTGCTAAGCCACTGCTCCACGGAGCAGTCATATTGAAAAACTGGAAGTAGAGTCGGTAAATAGGTGGCACATTCTGACGTTAACTACAATCTGCAACTAACAATGCTAGAGTGATGGTCCCACGGAGAATTAAACTCATGTTACTATTGTTTATTTTTATAGAATAAGGGTGACAAACAAGCACACAGTTAACCTGATGGTAAGTGGATGTTGGAGCCCATAGTATACATACATTCTCTATTAAGAATCAAAATGCAAATACGTTGTCAACCCTGAGGATGCCTCATTTCCAGTACAAAGTGTCACCGATTCTCTACAGTAACCATACGAAAGAGCAGCATAAGGCAGATATTTTACGGTGATATATTATTATTTTAAAAAATGCATCAATATCTATAAAGAAACGAATGCATTATAAAACTTACTTAAGACAACGATTGACCAGCAGTAGAACGTGAGATTGCAGTGGTCAACAATGATGGCGCCGACCACGTTAACTCCAGCGAAAGAAATCAGGCGGGATACCATCATGCCCAAACTCGTAACCAAGCCTCTGCGAAATAGAATTTGGGTTTGTAGGAAACACTGCTTATAACAATTTTAATAAAAAAACGAAAAAGTGCGAGAAGGACTCGCGCCCCAAGTATTCCGTATAAACTTAATTATGTAAGGCGAACATTGTTCTTACGAAAATGTGAGTACAAATGAAGGACGAATTTAACTTAGAGCAGTGAGAATAAATGTTCTCTCGTACATCGGGCTAATGTAGACAGCTAAATGCTTCAACTGCAAATGTACGTTTGGGAACCCTATTTTTTTTCTATAACTGACTACAAATTAAGGATTTTCGGACGTTTTCTTTTACTTATACTATGAAACCTTGTTTCTAGCAAAAAGTTCATGATTCTAAGGAACTACCCTCTCTATAGGTTTTGATGTGAGAGTTTATGAATGTCCAAATATGTGACATAACTGGCCGTAACTTTTGATTGCGTTGACTTGGTGTAAAATAAGGTGTAAAATAATTTTGAAGGTGTAAATAATATTTTACACCTTCAAAAGACCATACACCTAAGTATATTTAGAGCCTCGGCTTGTCGTGGTATAGCCACGCCTTTACGTATTAGAGCCACGCTGCAGCTATATTATGTTTGTAGCACGAATGGGTCGGCTCGACCGGGGAAGGACCACGCTCTCACTGAATACAACTAAAGGAGACGGGATAAGAGGACACTGCTGCCCGTCTCCTGGCCACAACGTCTATGAGTGCGGTACGTCTGCACGTACCGGCTTCTGGCTTAAACTGTAATCAGGTAAAAAGGGAACATTTATTCGTGGTAGAATAACGCTGCAGCTGTATTCCGGCTGCAGGAGGAATTTATTAGTTTGACCGGAGAAAGACCATGCTCTCATAGATCACCAGCTTTAAATTGCAGCATATTGCTGCTGTATTTCATATGATAAGAGTAGAGACATGTAGGTTCCTGTGAGCCACAGCATTCACATACCGTCATGTAAACTATGTGATCTCCAAAGTGTGATCGTACTTTTATAATGTTCGTTAGATCGAATTTCGGTCAGCGGTCAGTCCCAAAAGAGACTAGTAACCTATGCAGGACAGGATAACAGTATACGAGTGTGTGTGCAAGGACAGGTGCAACGACCGGAGAGGTTAGGCGCAGGACCAATGAATTTACGTGCTTCCCTAGTAACGGGTGTGGAAAACCGTCAAGTTCCTGACTCTGGGCAACAACTGAGAATTTCTCGAGAGTAAACCTGATAACTAATTTTGAGCTAGCCCAGGGATTCGAATTCAAACTTCGAACATTTACGAACACTAAGCCACCGAAACAGTCATACTTCTATAAATGAATTGTAGTTTAAAAAACTGAAGAAACACGCCAAAGATAAAACTATTTTATTTTATCCTGGTGATATCTGTGATGATCAGGATCATAGTATCCTAAAGTTATTAAATTATTGTATTGTAATCGGTATAATACAAGTGCAAATTTTCAACTCAATCCGCCATCAAAAAGTTGGTGAAAATAACATTAAAATAATCCAAAAAAATAATCAAAAGATTTAAGCGGTTTTGATTTAGAGCGCTTCGAATTGACGGCGACCGAGCTCTTTCTGATCGGCTTGACTCACTGGCGCTGCGAAGAGATGTATTTTATCGCATCTTCCACAGATAGTGCTCTGAATAATCGTACTAATTCCAGCCACTTAATTCGTCATTGCACATCGCAACAATAATCGCGATACCATCAATACCATCTGTATGATTTACTGTCCACCACTGTGCGATTTAGAAGAAGTTTTCTTCCTTGCACAACTTCCTTTTGGAATCGACTGCCACCAGGCAATTTTTTCGGATCGATACGACTTAGGGACCTTCAAGAAAATAGTCTAATCTTTAATGGGGTTTGTTATAAACTAATTTGCTTAATTCCGCGTAAAGAAAGAAAATGATGTGTCCTGCCCAGTTTTTAAGGGGACCTCCCATCCTCCCTCAATGGGACCTACCACCCTCCCTCAATCATGCACACTGTACCCGTCGCCGTCAACCCCAGCACTCTGCGGAGGCTGGCCGGCCAGAGTCTACTTCAGCTGAGGATGTCTCGTGTAGAGGCGAAACACGTGTCGTATTTTCGAGAGTGGTGTGTCGTGCCTAGTGTGGTGGTGCTGGGGATGGTAGCGCTAGGATTGACGGCGACGGGTATAGTGCGCGTGGTTGAGGGAGGGTAGGAGGTCTCCTTAAAATTGGGCAGGACGCATCCTTTATAATGGATTTCCGCAAAGTAATGCCTGATTCTATTAATTAGCATACTCTTTTTTTGCCGGCAACGCATCTGCAATTCCCTTGGTGTTGCAGTTGTTCATCGGTGGTGGTCTACACTTTCCATCAGGTGAGCCGCATGCTTGTTTGCCTTCACTTTTATAAAAATAAAAGACAGAAAGTTAGACAGATACACGCTAAGCTAGTAAAAGCGTGTTGAAAATACAAACCTATACGTCGTCGGATACATGTCCACGAAGTAGGTCGCGACGCTGCCAATACCGACACAGGTTATTTGTATCAATGAGAAATATATCATGCTCCAGACAGGTTTTGTGACGATCCCCACCAGAATAGAGCTTATCGCCGCAACCAAGAAACATCCGATCAGCACCAGACGCCTCCATGAAGCCAGTCTTGAAGCCACGAGGTTAATAAATGTAAAGAAAAGCCCTAGGATAATGCCCGAATAAACTGTGTTCGGTGACATTGCGTCATTGCATGTATACTGAAAAAAAAGCCAATCCTAAAATCCTATTACCCTTAGTAATAATTAACGATTATAATTATTAGTATTTATTTACGTGGTAGGGCCATGTAGTATAAACACAGTGTATTATCCAACAATTCAATTTAAATAAAAAAAAACTGCAACTATATAATGAATTCTGCACAAATGGGTCAGCTTGATCAGGGGACTTACAGAACACCAGCATAACAGGCAGCATGTACGTGGTAGAGCCATGCTGCAGCTATATTAGTAGTATAGTTGCAGCACGAATGGGTCGGCTCGACCGGATAAGGACCACGCTCGCACAGAATACCAGCGTAAAATAGCAGCTCAATGCTGCTGCTATGTATCGTATGGTAAGTGTAGAGAACCAGAGATCCTTTTTACTGGAAACGAGACATTCCATCTTAGTCCGCACGGGTGACAACGTAGCTGCATTTCGATTCGTAATCCAGGATAGATGTAGATATCTATCTTACCAGCAGGTGGACTGTGTGCTCGTTTGTATAAAAAGCGCGTATGCGGGGTGAGCGCGAGATCAGCGCGGAGCGGGATCGAGGCGGGCGCGTGACGGGCGCGTTGCGGGCGCGTGGCGTAGGCGAGGCGTGTGCGGTTGAACGGCGATAAATGCAATTTCAGATTTATTGATTTGTCATAACACTCAAATTATATGCAACAAATTTCAAAGCAAGTTAGATGCGGGTGCTGACGCGCGTGGCGTGCGCGTAGCAGGTGCGTGTCGTCGGAAGGCGCCCTAAGAGCTTTTCACCACTAGATGGCGTTATATAATATCTTTAAGTAAATAATATGTAATGTTTAAAATTAACCAAAATTAAAAATTAAAAAAATTTAAAAAAAAGGAACCAAAGATTATTTTACCTACATTTTCAGCTTGAACATTATTCGTGGCGTTTTGCACTACACCTTCACAAAAGCCAACGTCTGTAGTACCACCAGATAATGAGTTAAAAAACAAGTTCACCATGGTTGGGAACCACATAAGAAATACATTGTTTCTGGAAAAAATACAATTACGAAAATGATTTCATAAACAATAATTTAAAATTTAAAATATTTGCAACCGACTTCAATATAAATTATTAAGAATAACTCAAAAACGATTGGTCAGACCTTAATCAAATTTATATGGGACTACATGTGAAGCACCAGCTTTCAAATAAGAAGAGAATCATTGAAATCGGTTCACCCATTAAATAGTTATGAATTGAGTACCGTCTCGTTTTTGCAGTCGGTAGAAAATGGCCGTATCGTAGGATCTTTCGGAAACAGCAAAACCAAATACTACACAGACTGGTGATGTGAAGCAGTAATAATATCCATCAGACCGCAACTTGGTGCAGGGTGGGAGTGTGCACTCTCAATTCCGCCACTCCATTAGTCCGATAGGAGGCCGAAAAGAGATCAGTTGCATAGCCAACGGTTTACGCGCTTTCGGATGCACGGGGGTAAAACACTACCTGACTTCGGGCAGCTAATAAGAATTTCTTAACAGATAGAAACCAAGATTTTGTCAGATTCAAACCTAGGAACACAAGAAATGAGACGAAATATTTTTATTTTATCGACATAAGAAAAACATTGTGTTAAATGTACAGTAAAATGTACTATACTATTTCGAATTGAAATTTCACTGGCTAAAAGCTTTTAAAAAATTTACTTCGCAAACATCCGCGCTATAAAATAAAATAAAATGATGTGTCTTACCTAGTATGAAGAGCACCTCCGACCCTCCCTCAATTGCGTGCACTATCCCCGTCACCACTAATCCCAGCACCACTACTCCCAACACCACTACACTAGGCAAGACACACCACTGACGACAATACGACACGTGTTTCGCCTCTACACTAGGCGATGTTGGCTCTACGGTGGCTGACCGTTAAGTCTGTCGTCAGTGGTGTGTTTTGCCTAGTGTAGTGGCGTTGGGAGTAGCGGTGCTGGGATTAGTGGTGACGGGGATAGTGCACGCAATTGAGGGAGAGCGGGAGGTGCTCTTCATACTAGGTAAGACATATCATTTTATTTTATTTTATAGCGCGGATGTTTGTGAAGTAAATTTTTTAAAAGCTTTTATATAATGGATTTCTGCAAAGTAACGCCTGATTCTATTAATTATATTTCACTGGTTGCAGAAGAAACTGCGAAATAAAATTTGAGGTTCGGCAGTGCCGTGGACACGGCCGTGTGTTCTACTACGTGAATACGTATATGTAAATAAGCGACCTCAAAATGGCGGCGCTCCCATATGCTATGTGCCAAACTAGTTCCTTACGGAATTCTAACACCAGCGGCTATGTAACACTGTGACAATTTGATTTGATTGTAAACAATTACACAAGTATTTAGAAACAATCTCGAGTTAAATATCTCTTCTTATATCACTGATGATGTCGTGAGGCGAAACTGGTCGGTTTTTGTAATAAGTACCTATATTAATAATTTAAATTAAATATTTAGAAACCAGTACAAATGGATATCCAAAATCATAAAAATTAAATCTCCAGCTTCACAATTTCAAAATTTGTAAGTGTAAAATATATTATTATATGTATAATATATATATTATATGTTGTGGACTCGAATATGGAGCATAAAATAGTTTTTTGTACGTTATAATGACGTCTATTGGTTTAGTAGCAGGTTTTAAAGGTCAAGGATTGCATGAAACTTTAACTATGCATAACATGCACTTTGACACTTTTATGTAGATTTTGACACTGTTTCCTCATCCTTATTATATTCCTGCTTTTTATCTTTGACCTGCGAAATCTTGGGGAATCGCGAAAATGGGGAAAAATATAATAAATGAGCCATGCTATGGCGACAAACTAATTTTGATGGCTCCGTGGTGGCTGAAAGCCGCGATTTTGATTTCCGCGCGAAACAAGCCGATATTCGTGTGGTCTACGTTTAATTGTTCCGGATATTTATCTTTGTGCGATACAGAAGAACATGTGTGGGAAAAATAGACTTATACTACTGCGTCATTTATATCGATGGTGTTAAACGTTTCTTTAGAAAATAATATTAATAAAAATAACTTAGGTACTTTTGCACAATTTAAAGATGTACGAAAATAAAAAATATTTGGAGCACAATTCAATGCAAAAATAAAACAAACACATATCTTCAAATTATTAGGTGTTAATACAATAAAACTTACGTAGTGCAACATATAACTATAAGGTAGAATAACTGTAAAGTTCTTAATAACAGTGGAGGTTGAAACAATGGTACTGTCTGACTCACTAATGAAGACCATAGTGTTTGCTTTTGGCTGTTTGCATTTTCTGTTTTTTCTAGATGGTGAACCTGCAAAATTTTCATAAAATTATATTAAATGTACTTTTAAAGTAGCAAATAGTAGGCACATAATCTTTGCTATTCAATTTTGTCAGGCGATTTGCCTCTTACAGGAATGTCTAACTTTATTGTTTTTTTTTAATTTTTTTTTAATTGACTGCCTCGTTGGTGTAGTAGTTATAGTAGAGCGACTGCTGATCATGAGGTCCCGGGTTCGAATCCCGGGTCGGGCCAAAAAAATCAGTTATTGAGTTTTTCCGTCAAGAAATTCTCAGTAGCTGCCCGGAGTAAGGAAGTTAGCGGTGTCTCACCCCCGTGCCTCGGAAAGCACGTAAAGCCGTTGTTCCTGCGTCTGATCTCTCTCCGGTCGTGTCGGATTACCGTCCCATCGTACTATGTGAGTGATGGAATAGAGAGTGCACCTGTGCTTGCGCATACACTTGGGCACTATAATCCTGTCCTGCGCAGATGGCTAGTCTCCGTTGAGACTGGCCGCCGTGACCGAAATTCGGTTATGGAGGACATCATCATCATCAATAAATGCAATAGAAATATTCATCAACGACACTATGTTTATGAGTAATATAATAAATATAACTTTATTTAATTGATTTGCCTCAATCACAGTCACCAGTGTTTTCACGACCGTAGTACCAGACGTCTGGACTGTTTCCAGAGGTACTTTTTTGACTATTATCTGGCGTCAACGGGATGTTATTCCGCCATCCATCGGAAGTCATAAAATGTTTCTAACATTGCCGTCATCGCCATTCCAGATTTTCTCCCTTGGGTATTGTAAAAGGCGACTATTTTTATTTTTTATATTTATTATCTTCATGCACAAAGTTGTACATATGACGGACTTAATGCCATTGGGCATTCTCTCCCAGTCAACTACTAGGCTAAACAGAGATATACAAACAAGAGGCGGTGCAGCAGTAATCAAAATAGAAAGCGCTAAAAAATTGTATATACATATACACACACATATATAGACATATATACTTAAATACACACAATATATACATATATAAATACATACATACACATATACATGCATACACTACATAATATACACAATACACCATGTGTAATTCCAGGAATATTTCCTGTACTCCTTCTGGAACAGGTCTGCCAAGTGTGGCGATTACAGCATATCTTTCTTACAACATTGCGAGAAGACGAAGAAGAAAACGAATTACCGGATATTCATCATCCTTGCCACCGTTTGCCACATTAATCCTTCTCAATACTTTTAAAGCTATGGTACTTTCGCCCTTATTGGCAAGGAATTTGGGACTTTCGTAAAGCCAGCATAACAGGAGCGCACCAATACCCAGGGGAACAGCTATGACGAACGTGAATAGTCTCCAGGAGCGATACGTTATAGAGAGCCAAGGTATTTCCCAGTGTAAGGAAAGTGGTAATATGAAGTAGGCAAGACCTGGAAGCAGATAAAATGTGTTTAGTATAAACACAGTGTAATATACAACAATTCAATTTAAATATAAATAAAATGCAACTATGTAATGAATTCTGCACAAATGGGTCAGCTTGACCAGGGGACTTACAGAACACCGGCATAAAAGGCAGCATGTACGTGGTAGAGCCATGCTGCAGCTATATTAGTATTATAGTTGTAGCACGAATGGGTCGGCTCGACCGGGGAAGGACCACGCTCTCACAGAATACCAGCGTAAAATAGCAGCTTAACACTGCTGTTTCGTATGGTGAATGTAGAGAACCGGTGACCCTTGTTACTGAACGAGAGGCATTCCATCTTAGTCCTCACGGGTGACAACGCATCTGCATTTTGATTCTTTATTGAGGATAGATGTGGATGTCTATGGGTCACAGCAACCACTTACCATCAGGTGGACTGTGTGCTCGTTTGTCACCCTATCCTATAAAAAAAAGCATATTGATGGTGTGTTGTGGTGAGTGACAGGATACAGAGACAGTTTTCATTTCATTTAATCCTCAGAGGTGACAACACAAATGTAGCCTTCATTGTTTGAAGTTGACTGCAGGTGTTCATGGACTGCAGCAGCCACTTACCTTCAGGTGGACTGTTAGTTCGTGGGTCATTTTAACTTTATAAAGGAGGAGAAGAAATTTTGTACAACCAATTTCAACATAAATAAAATGAGAACATCATCAATGTAGTCGACGTCAATTAAATACGCATTATTAAATATAACTGAAAAACTACTGCTCAGATCTTCATCAAATATACATGGGCCAACATGAGAAGCACCAGCTTTCAAATAAAAAAGAATCATCAAAATCGGTTCACCAAGAATAAATTTGTAAGGTAACACACATACAATACAGTCGAATTATAATATTATAAAAAATATATAAAAAATACAGTCGAATTAAGCACCTCCTCCTTAATTTGGAGTCGGTTGAAAAAATAGTATGAAACATTGAAATGTAAGTAACATATTTTTGCTAATATTGCTTTTATGTCAATTTATAAATCATTTATAAATTTAAATTAACAGCCTAAATCCATTCCACTGCTGGGCTGGGAGGGGTTTTTGTGGCAGGGACGAATTAGTTGTGCTGTTTAAATGTGTTTGGTGAACTTTGCACGGCCTTCAAAATTTGTATTATTTTCCGGTTATCTCACGATGTTTTCCTTAACGCCGAACAAGTGGTACCGTGTAGTGGCGGTGTAAGAATATCCACTACCCCATAATGTACCAGTGGGTGTCGTAAGAGGCCACAGAAGAAAACAAATCAGGAGATGGACAGCAGAGTCTTTTTAATAACGACTAAAAATTAAAAACTGTGGTTGACAACCCGCTTGCCAAGCGTGGCAGCTGTGGCATATATCCTCCCTATACGGCAGTCTATGTGGGAGCCTATTCAGGTCCACTGCTGAGCATAGGCCATGTTCAGCTGTGGACTTTAATAGACTGTAACGATAACAGTAATGGAGCACCTGGCATTATCAGCACAAACATATAATTGCAATTAACACTTCTCGGTTTTCGGACTTCTCGGAAGTTCTAACCCCTGGGCTACCATAATACATAATAAACATAATAAAATAGAAATACTACTCTTTAAATAAACATTTTAAGTGAGAAATTGTATTTATTGGGTTCTTCCCAGTGTGTAGTGGCAGTGGTGTAGCTAGACGTGGGTAAAGTGTTCCCTCGCACACAGCCTCGCCCTTAAAGGGGCCTCGCTATGCCCCTTAAAATGCGATGCCCCCAGACTATACCACAGATGACTAATTAATTAGATCACTTTTACGTTCGAAAAAGAACGTCAAAACATTTAAAAGCGTGTTCGTTTGGGGCCTTACAAGAAGCAACTCTTAAGTGCAACTGCGAGGTCGTTGTAACTTGTAACTACATTCAAAGACCACGACCATTAGGTTGACGAAATACGAGACCTGTCAGAAATTAGTAGCTATGAGTCGGTATGTCGTGTCCAAGCATAGGTAGGATAGATCTATTATGTAGATCTTAAGAACGAAAATTAAAAGGAACCTCGTTGATGTGACTTCGCCCACGTCTATTCAAGCTACGCTTCTATCTTTCGGTATGAAAGTTATATAGTGCCAGTTCAATTACATCTTTAATATGTAGCGGGTGGAAGTAAATGGGGAATTCTCCCGCTGGGCAAGGTGTTCTGCCCGGGGAGCAGCCAACGCTCCGATTGGTAGTTCGGAGCTATTCTATATATGCTGCTTTAACTTGGGAACTTTGTTAGCGCGATTTAGGCTTCGATGTGTTTCGCTTGTGGCGCGACGACAGCGTCGCCACAAATACTTATATCTACATTACTTATACTGGTTGTATATAACTTTCAGACTGGAACACAGCTGTACGCTCAGCGCTGTTAAGCGGGAGAAAAAGGTAACATATCCAGATGGATCGAAAAGGCAGAAAAGGAGCCCTGCCAGCTAGTAAAGTATGATTAAGTAGAGTTTTACTAAGATATGTGATATACATACATAGCTGCAGCACGAATAGATCGACTCGACCGAGGTAGGATCACACTCTTAGAGAATACCAGCGTGAAACAACAGAATAATGATGTTTTATTTCGTATGAGGCAGCGTTCGGGAAATTACGGCATATCTCCTCATCAGGTATACCTCAAAATTTAAAAACTATACTGTATAACCATTGCGTGTTGCCAGTGATGACCTATGGAACCGAAACGTGGTCCTTCACTGCTGGCCGTATGAGGAAGCTCAAGGTCGCTCAGCGAGCTATGGAGAGGGCTATGCACGGGTTTTCTCTGCGTGATAAACTAATAAATGAGGATATCCGCAGTAGAACTAGAGTTACCGACATAGCCCAAAGGATTAGTAAGCTGAAGTGGCAATAGGCCGGCAATATTTCTTGAAGAACCGACAACCGATGTGGAAAAAAGATTTTCGAGTGGCAGCCTCGTACCGGCGGACGAAGTATAGGGCGTCCCCCCACTAGATGGAGTGATGACCTGGTGAGATATGCAGGGAGTCGATGGATGCAGGCAGCTCAGGACCGTGTTTTGTGGCATTCCTTGGGGGAGGTCTATGTTCAGCAGTGGACTTGTGATGGGCTGTAATGATGATGATGATTTCGTATGGTGAGTGTAGAGCACCGAAGAATCTTTTTACAGGTAACAAGGCATTTCATATTAGTCCTCAGGGGTGGCAACATATCTGCATTTCGATACTTGATCGATGACGGGTATAGATGTCCATGGGCATCTACTTACCATCAGATGAACGGTGTACTCGCTTGTTAAGCTTATTCTCCAAAAAATCCAATCCAACTTACCAAAAGAGACGATCTCGGAGGCGATGTTCATGCTTATCATTATGAAGAGATATCGACTGCGATGCTTGCTGCCGGTGCTCTCGCCCAAATACGCCATGGTGAGAGAAAACGATGACGTTGAACTAAAGATTTTTTTTTATTAATAAAAATTTCAAATATGACAGGCCACGCAGAAAGTTAAAAAAAAAGGTTTTTCGAAGTGAAATTTTCTTTAGTATCGTTGTCATTTGAAACTCGAAGAAACGAAAAAGCGACCCTAAAAAGCGACAAACATACATATATAGGATTTAGCCTGCGAAAGAATAAGATAGAATACAGTATACAGGGTCTCCTATTATTTATGGAGAAAATGCATGTGATCTACGAGCAAAGTAATTAGTACTTACGATGATGAAATTGAAAACTTTGAGTCTGTATATTAACTTAATTAAGGCGTTTCCGTGACCAAATAACCTTGAGCATGCAGTGCACTGCCGCCCGCACTCTGCGTACGCCCATTTATCACAGAATTCACACAATTTTTGGAATTAATTTTAATTAAAAACGAAAAGCGGACTTTAAAAATTAAATAAAACGTTAATAATATAGATTTTTAAATTATTTATCCATTAGTGTAATCCTCAAATGATTAGAGCGTTGTCTTTAGAACAGTTTAGTAACAGATTCATGTAATCAATAATTTTAGTCATTTTTTAAAAGTATTAGTAATAGATTTTTAATGTATTTATAACACATAAAAACAAATTAGAACGGGGAATGTGATGATAGGATATCGAACATTAAGAATGTGCTTTTAGTTGTTTTTTTTTTTCTCATAACTAATGAGATAATAGTCTCTGAATAACGAAGAAAAACGCACTATCGCAAGATCTTTGTCGGGGTATCACCTTAACGTATTTTTTAATGCCACGTGGTTACGAGGTAATGGATGAGCTGTTAAATAAAATTTTAAGTTCCAAAACGTTATCCGCGTAAATCTCTACCTTTGTTCTATCCACTTTCTGTGAAATCTAATCTAGGTCATAATAATACTTTAGCTAGTGGTCTAAGAGCCAGTGAGCGGCAGACTTGCGGTATTTAATAAGCTTCACGGTTTTTTCCAGTTAATCCCCTATACTTGAGGTACATGAAACGGGGACTCTTTAGTTTGACCGGCGTTTGATATAGAGACGCACAGGTGGGAAAGGTGTAAAAAATCATGAAATATTGAATAAAAGTTACTGAAAAATAACATTGGCAGACACCTATGGCGGTTCCAAGATCAATTTTTTCTTTATAATTTACATTATTTCAATAAAGCTACAATTTATATATATGTTGTCGATAATAATATGTATTTTGCATGGCAGACATATATTGAGGTTCTATCATCCAGACAGACAATGAACTTCAGTGGCGTCTAGAAGTGCATACTATAACATTCGCTCTAAGCCAGTCTTTTTTTCTATTTTTTTTTTCGAAGAAAGCGCCCATGTCTGAGTTTTATTTACTCATTACAAAGGAACATCTGTTCTCGGTAACGGTTATATCAAATCTTTTTAGTGTATTTTTGTACTTTGGTAGAGCAGCATGAACGAATCACTGAAAGTTCTCAGATTCCTGAACTAGGCAGTTCATCAGGAGATGTAATTCCTATAAATACGGGTCGTTTATGTTTTTTTTTTATAACATTGGTATAAACAATTGGTTTTGCATGCTACTACTGAACTGTTGTTCAAGCTACTGGATTCGAAAAGATACTGTAACATCAATGGCACTCACCTTCGATTTGCTGACGACATAGTCCTTATGGCAGAATCGCTGGAAGACCTAAACACTGTGCTCAATGACCTCAATAGTGCCTCACAACGGATAGGTCTTAAGACGAACATGGACAAAACATAGATTATGTGTAATGTCCATGTCATACCTATGCCGGTAGTTATAGGGAGCATTAAGCTCGAATTTTTGACGAATATGTTTACATGGGACAAATAATACTACGACTAGGTAAGTACAACATCGACCGAGAGGTCAATCGACGGATTCCACTCGGCTGGGCCGCGTTCAGGACATTACGACACATTTTCTCGTCAGGATACCTCAAAACTTGAAAACGAGATTGTACAACCAGTGCGTGATGATAGTGACATCTTATGAATCTGGAATGTGGTTTTTCAATGCCGGCCATGTGACGAAGCTCAAGGTCGCTCAGCTAGCTATAGAGAGGGCTATACTCGTGGTTTCTCTTTGTACTTAGAAATGAGGGTATCCGCAATAGAACCAGAGTAATTGACATAGCACAAAGTAAACATATAAAAGTCATATTGCTCGAAGAACCGACAACCGATGGGGAAAAAAGATTCTCGAGTGGCAGCCTCGTATCGGCAGGCGAAATATAGGGCGGCCCCTCATTAGATGGAGAGACGACCTGGTAAGACATGTAGGAAGTCGATGGAGGCAGGTGGCTCAGGGCCGTGCTTTGTGGAATTTCTGGGGGAGACGTACATTCAGCAGTGGACTTGTGAACGGTTATTATGATAATCATGATGATGATGATGGCTAATACAGAACTGTCGAAAACAAGTATTTTAATTAATGTAATAGACATTTTAATTCAATTTAAAGACTGGATTATAGCGAGTGCTCACTTATGGACGCCACTGAAGTTCGTTGTCTGCCTGGATAATAGAACCAGCCAGCCAGGGGACGAGGTTGCTCGCGTCCGTAGGAAATACTTGAAATCTGACACATTCCACGTGCCTCCCGGGTACTGCTAAAGGAGCAGCACCAATTCCGGTGGTAGGTTTTGGCCGCTGGCTTTTCGGTTACCACCCACCAATGCAAAGTCTTGCCACCAAATGACTTTATCGTGTTCCGGCATGATGCTTGGTGAGGCCATATGGAGAATGGGTCTGAACAGTAGCGTTGTGTATGTAAACCGGGTACGAAGCATCAGTTGTTGCTGTGTCGGGTGCTTCGTCGTGGAGGGTAGCGGGATCCGAAGCACGGTGTTCCGCTGGCTGACCGCAGGTAGTTGGGGGCCCAATTAGTGAATTAGCTACTCATGATAGGTTGCCCCGCCAACTGGCGAAAAAAAACCATGGTGGCCCCATCGTGCCGGTTAGCGACCGGGCGAGAGTACCCGATGGCGATATCTGTGGGGGGGGGGGGGGGTTCGGGCGTCCCCGTAGTGTCCAGATCAAGCTCCCATGGGCACAGTAACTCTGGTAGTATCTTATCGCCATTCGCCATCCTTATTCACTCTCAACACTTAATATGTACATACTGTCTGCCTCGTTGGTCTAGTGGTTGTAGTAGTGCGAATGCTGATCACCCGGGTTCGAATCCCGGGTCGGACCAAAAAATTCAGTTATTGAGTTTTTCTATCAAGAAATTCTCAGTAGCTGCCCGGAGTCAGGAAGTTGGCTATGACTCACGTAAAGCCGTTGGTCCTGCGTCTGATCTCTCTCCGGTCGTGTCGGATTACCGTCCCATCGGACTATGAGAGTGAGGGAATAGAGAGTGCACCTGTGCTTGCGCATACACTTGGACACTATAATCCTGTCCTGCGCAGATGGCTAGTCTCCGTTGAGACTGGCCGCCGTGACCGAAATTCGGTCTGGAGGACATTATTATTATTATGTACATAAAAAAAAGTAGTGTTAAACAGCGGTTGCACGTCCTCTCACTAAAAGTGCACCTCACAGATATTCGAGGATTGCACAGTTGTAACACGAATGGGTCGGCTCGACCAGGGAAGGGCCACGCTCTCACAGAATACCAGCCTGAAACAACAGAATTATGTTGCTTTGTTTCGTATGGTAAATGTAGAGAACCGGAGACCTAGGTGGACTGTGTGACCATTTCTCACCTTTATTCTATAAAAAAAATAACCGTCTCAGAAATGCGCCTGTGCGCAGCAGTGACGCTACCAAATAAAAGATCAAAATACGTACAAACAGCATCCTATTATTTTCAACGCTAGCATGATTTGCCACGTAGGTGAGAGGCTGCTGAGTGCAGCGAAGACAAAACCAACCGAAGTTGACAGCAGCAGGGCTCGTCTCCTGCCCTGGGTGTCCGCGAAGTAGCCCCACGGGAACGCGAACAGAACACCTGAAGAACATGAAGAAAAAAAACTGAATGTTATTTTAATCCGTATAGAGGAAACTAATATTATCAAAAGGTGACTGTAATGAAATGAAATGAAAATAAAAGTACTTAAAATCATTAGTATAATTATGAACAAACTGACAAACAAACTCACTCCTCGTAATTATCATCAGTGCGAAGGTTATGTCTCGAGTCTAGTTGAGTATTAGGTTGAGTTGAGAATTGGGCTTATTGCTGGGTTGAGTGTCCTCCCAACTAAATATCTGTCACAGCGGCCAGTCTCAACGAAGACTAGCTCATCAGCACAGTACAGAATCATAGTATCCGAATGTATGCGCAAGCACAGGTGCACTCTCTATTCCCTCACAATCATCTAATTGTAATCCGACGCGGTCCGAGAGCTTACGCGCAGGACCAAAAATTTACATATAATTTAATATCTTCTAATGTCAAAGCCTTAATTCTTCGACACATTTTGTCTTTGCACTGTTTAGACAGTTGAAAGCAGGCCTTTTTCTGACTACGACTTTAATAATAAAAGCGTACGATTTATTTGCATTTATAACATTTTAAAAGTGAAATAAAATTCATAAAAACAAAAAAAAACTACGCAAGAAAATAAGTATAATAAGGCCTATGGTGAAATTTAGTAGGCCTTAATAACCGCCGACCAAGTATTTAAGAAAAACTGAAATTAAAAAAAAAATTGACCACGATACGTTACTCAAATCTTCAAGATCAACAAAGCATTTATTCATAAAGATTACGATTATAGATAGTGTAATATTACAAAACATACCTATGATTTATATGGACTGATTTTTGTTATTGGTGGAGTGCGGTCATATCTTATGATAGATAATGCAACTCTGGTGACAGGACGCGAGGTAGCGCGTTTCTTTTCTTTCTTCTTTTTTTTTAAACGTTACCCCCCCCCCCCCCCCCACACTAGGATTTTCTCCTGTGTCGTGGAGACAGTTTACAAACATTTGTATTCAGACCCGGAACAACTATTTGTAGGCCATACAAATACTTGTTCCGTGCGGGATTCGAACCCGCGGCCCCCAGCGCAGCAACTGATTGCTAAGCCACTGCGCCACGGAGCTGTTTCTGCCTTGTAGAGACATTATCGTGCAATAGGAGTCTGTTATTATCTCCTTAAGCGAGTGCGATTATTATAAATACGATTTTTGTTAAATAAGCCTTATTACCCGCAGGGCCGTTAAGATATTTTCACGTTTTTATGGCACCTGCTTTAGAGTCTCTGTTTACCTCGTGGTTGACTAGTAGAGAATGCCTTAAGGCATTAAGTCCGCCAATTGGACACTTTAGGTGCAATAAAGATTTTCAAATAAATAAATAAATAATTTCTTAATGTAGACTTACTTAACTTAGTGTTGTTTTATTCTGACACTACGTACTTCTAAGCCAATAAATGAGCCACTATATCTAAGATACTGCGCAGTTGCCACTAAAACTAAAAGAAATGATAGCATTTGGAAATTGTTACATCGCTTGGATTGCACCAAAGTAATTTCTACTTAAAAAAGATAAGAGAACAAAGGAGATTAGACCTGCAAATGGTGCTGAAGCTAAAATTCCAGTCTCAGTGATGCCGAGGCGAAGGTCACAGCTGGCAGCAGCCACAACCAGACTGAAACCAAACATGTCCAGCGCCACTGCGTTGCTGATAACACAGCAGGCAGCAAGGAGTAAGTAGTTGTATCGTCCATGACCTGCAAAAGCGATATAATGAGTTTATTTGAATGGTACTACGATTTATTAAGATCGATTTAACTGTGGATTTTGACGAGCTGATGATGATAATGATGATGGCAGTTTTACGTTCTGTTTTTAAACATTACTTTCACAAAACAGTGGAAAAATCCTAGTGAGTAGTTGGAGTTTACATACATAAACTTCAGAAGGACAAATATCTAGATAAATAAAAAACAGTTGAATATAGAGAAAAGTTTATCCCACATAACTACGCAACAACAGATGGCATCTCGGTCAATGTGATCATTTTCGTTGATATAAAAAGCAATGTTAATAACCAACATGGATGTTCTTCGCTTATCGTTATTTTGTCTAGAATATGTAGCCACCTTTTTTTAATCAACTTCGAAATAATTAGGAGGTTCAAAATTCGAGTGTTTTTTTAAGTATCCTCAGAATTCTTTTCTAGGTGAACCGATTTTGATGATTCTTTATTTGAAAGCTGGTGCTTCTTATGTGGTCAAGATTTGATTAAGACCTGACCGGTAGTTTTTGAGTAATACGTAATAATGCGTATTCAATTGACATCGGCTACATTGATGGTCTTCTCATTTTATTTAATAGTGAAGACGGTCGTACAATTTTTTTTTAATTTTACCACTTATATGAAAAACGAAACATAAGAGGGATCGCAGATGCATAGATGGAGTAGACTCTTCTTGAATGTTCCTAAGTCATATAGATTCGGAAAAATCGTTAGAAGTTTTCCGGAAAATCGCACCATCTGGACTATTCAGGCGGCCCATTCCAGAGATTTACTAGATGGTAGGCCTTCCCCTCTTACCTATTTTTGCCGTAGCACTCCCTGCAGATCCGTGTTCCGATCCGAAGAGTACCCAGTTTTACGTGGTAGAGCCACACTGCAGCTACATTATGGTTGTAGCACGAATGGGTCGGCTCGACCTGGTTAGGATCACGCTCTCACAGAACACCAGGATAAAATAGCAGCTTAAAGGTGCTATGTTTCGTATGATGAGTGTAGAGTAGAGGTAGTACGAGTAGAGGCATTCCATCTTAGTACTCACGGGTGACAATGCGTGTGTAGTTTGATTCTTAATCGAGAATAGATGTCTATATCATCAGCAGCAGCAATCACAGACAATCGCCCGTCTTATAAATCAAATTAAAAAAGCCTTTATACGTCCCATTGTTGGGCAAAGGTTTTCTTTCATTTCCAAGAAGGTTATGGGGCAATTAGTCTATGGCAAAATTGGGTAATGTGGCGGCGCTCTCTTCACGCCACAAGCGGGACATATCGAAACCTAAATCGCGCTATCAAAGTTCTCTCCGAACTACCACTCGAAGCAATGGTTGCTCTCCGGGCCGATCACCTTGCCCGGCGGGAGATCTCCTCTGTTCCTATCATGGCCAAAAGTCCACCGTCCTTCTACAGTGCGTTGTTGCAATGTTTTTCTTCACCGCCGAGCACGTCATAAATTGTCACGTAATATTGCAATTGACAATTTAATGTCCGATGGGGATCGAACCTAAGTTCCTGGTGGCCGGTAGCCTCTCAGCTACCTCTACTTGAGGCAGCGGTGGACACGTGCTGCTGGGCTAACATGGGCACAAGAAAATTTGTACCCCGGGGAAGGGAGAAAATGTTTATCCTCTCGCTTAGTTTTATCCACCCTTTGAGCATGGGCACAACGGTGGGAATAATATCCGCAATAGATAAAATGGGAGATAGACTTAGACTTAGATAGATTTTTGTATGAATATAAACTTAAACCCACGTCCAATGAAATAGGATAAAATTGTCCCTTTCAAATGTCAAAAAAGCATAATTTTTTATCTTTCATTAGGCTTCATGCTACCGACGCGGGATATATGTCTACTCGTTATGTCAAACGAGGATATACTTCTCCCCGTTGCCGTGCTTTGGCATAAGGACGAGATAATTTTATCTCTTGTCGGTGGATATAAGCGGGGAACAAATTTTTTGTCCAATGGGCTGCCGTGCTGGCCCTCAAATCTTCTCAGTAATACAAGAAGGCCTATGCGCAGCTGTGGGCCGTATTTAATGGTTTAAATTCCGCAGCATTCACTTACTATCAGGTGGTAGATCGGGTGGATGAAAAAAATATATTTAATATTCCTCATGATTAATGCAATAAAGTGTCGTTTGTCTAGTGGTCGCAAACGAGGTTGCTGACCATAAGGGCCCGGGTTCGAATCCCGGGTCGGACCAGAATCAGTTATGGAGTTTTTCTGTCAGGAATTTTCAGTAGCAGCCCAGATACAATAACTTGGTGGTGTTTTACCTCCGTACCTCAGAAAGCATATAAAGCCGCCATGCGCATGAACTCTCTCCGGTCGTGTAGGATTGATTGCCTTCTCGTCGGAGTATGAGAAAGAGAGAGCGAATTAAGAGGGTACCTGTGCTTGCGTTTGTCTTTATACACTCGATCACTATACTTTACCTAGTCTTTTACGTGGTAAAGCCATACTGCAGCTATATTCATAGTATATTCGTAGCACGAATGGGTCGGCTCGACCGGGGAAGGACCATGCTCTCACAGAATACCAGCGTAAAATAGCAGCTTAACACTGCTGTGTTTCGTATGGTGAGTGTAGAGAACCGGAGACCCTTTTTACTGGAAACGAGGTATTCCATCTTAGTTCTCACGGGTGACAACGCATCTGCATTTTGATTCACAAGCGAGGAAAAATGTAGATGTCTATGGGCCACAGCAATCACTTACCATCAGGTGGACTGTGTGCTCGTTTGTCTCCCTATCCTAAAAAAAAAGTTATGTCCCGAAGATGGAAATGTCTTATCTCCGTTTAGACTGGCCGACGTTACCGAGTCTCGAGGACATTATTATTATTATAACTGTATGCGAACAGGTGGAAGATGCTGGTCCTGTAGTGCCTTGACCTAGAGATGAGAGCAGTATACCTTGTGAGGCCAATATGCAAGCGCTGAACCAGTGTGAAATACTGTCCTGCTGTTCCAAGCACGACAAGCAAATACATTTTGTTCAACAATTAATAGGTCGGTCGATTTGCTGGGAATTGTTAATGCATCCACCATATAGTCCTGACCTTGTACCGTCAGACTTTCACCTCTTTCGGTCTCTTCAGAATTCTTTAGATAGAGTTAGATTTACATCAATAGAGGGCTGCCAAAACTACATGTCGCATTTTCTTGATCAAAAATCTCAAGATTTCTACAGCAACGGATTATGTCACTGCCTAAACGATGGCAACAAGTTATCGAACAAAATGGCACATAAATATTATAATTAAATTTAATTAAACTTTGGAAAAAAAATGTCTTGAATTAGTATATAAAATACGTAGAAACTTTTTCTAAAATCTTTTATTTAGTCAGGTCATAAGTTGTGCTGTCAAAAAAAATTTTACAAAATGAATCATACACTTTTTGATAATTATATAGAAATTATATATGAAGTGAAAGATAATTAAATCTATATCTATAAAAATAAATGAAATTGAAGTGTCTGTTTGTAATGTCAAAATAACAGCTTTTTACTTAATACATATGAAAGTAGAAGGTACTAATAAAAAAAAAACAATTTTCAAAGTTTTTATCTGTCTGTCTGTCTGTCCGGTCCGGCTAATCTCCAAAACGGCAGGACCGATTTTGACGGACAGATAGCTGATACCATAAGGAGTAACTTAGGCTACTTTTATTTTAGAAAAAGAAGTAGGGTTCCGCTCAAAAAAAATAAAACCCCAAATAACACGCGGGCGAAGTCGCGGGGAACAGCTAGTTTAGAATACAATTTTATTTACATTATTCAAAATGCCCTCCCCTATTTTGAATACATGCCCTTAATCGACGCGGCCAATCGTCAATCGCAACACGCACCACATTCATAGCTATTTCTGCCGCTGCTTTAGCCAAAGATTCTCGGAGAGATTCCAAATTCTGATGAGGTTTAGCGCAGACTTTCTCCTCCAAATGTTGCCATATCTTGTAATCCAGTGGGTTTAAATCTGGACTAGAAGAGGGCCAGTCTTCGTGTCCAATAAAGTCAATTCAACGGGCGGTCAACCAGTTTGCGTGCTTCGTGCCCCATGAGCTGGTGTGGAGTCCTGTTGGAATATCCAATGTCTGTTTTTGAACATTTTTTGAGTAAGAGGTTCCACTATGTTTATTAGGACGGTGTTTTGGTACACCTCGGGACAGGTTTTTACACCTTTTTCATAGAAAAATACCTCAGTTAAGCCTGAATATGAGAGTCCAAGCCAAAACATGAGTGACGAAGGATAATGTCCTCGTTGAAATCTCGGAATACGCGTGCTGGCTTCTTCACTGCTGTGGACATACACCTTATCATTTTGTTTATTATAACTTTCTTCGATGTTAAAAGTTATTTCATTCGAAAACAAAATATCGTGGCATTTTTTACCCGTGTACCGCCGTAACAAAGCGCGGAATCTATCCAGCCTAATTTTTTTCAAACGCTCTTTCAAATAATATCCGGTCTTCTTGCGATAAACAAATCGTAGGGTTATTTTCAATTTTTGTAGTCAATATTCTATCTCTTTTGGCGCGTAACCACAGCGGTGCAACGCGATAACCGCTACTCTATTTTCTTTCTTCGACCACTCCATATTTGAAAATTAATGAAAATTAATGTCTTTTTTATTTTCCGCAAGCGCAAACGTTATATTTTTAAAATTGGTGCGGTTCATCTAGCCAGTATTCAAAAATTTTAAATAATAAGGTTTTGATAGAACTTATGACCCGACTAAGTATTATGAATATATATTTACCCTGGCCCATATCATCCCGTGGGTGTCGTTAGAGGCGACAGAGGCAAACAAATCAGGAGATGTGCAGCAACATCTTCCTAATAACGACTTAAAATAAAAATCTGCGGTTGCCAACTCGTATGCCAAGCGTCGCAACTATGGCAAATATTCCTCCTATGAGACAATCTATGTGGGAGGCCTATGTTCAGCAGTGAACTTTATTAGGCTGTAATGGATGTATGTATAGAAGATAATCTACCAGGAACACATGACCCACTGAAAGGTGAAATTTTCAAATCAACAGTAACATTACAACTATGGCAAATATCCTCCCTATGAGGCAAACTATGAAGGAGGCCTATGTTTAGCAATGGACTTTATAGGTTGTGACGGTAACAGTTACGGAACCAAACAAATATAATAAGTCGTGGGCGGCATCAGAGGCATCTGAAAATAAGTGGCACAAATAAGGGATTATAATTAAGACACTATATATTTGTGCCATTTACTGTAGAAACTATAGGTTCACGTGCGGTAAAGTTCCTAAAGGAACTCTATTTGCGATTGTAGTCGCTGGTAGTGATAAGAGGGCTGGTTTTTTTTTTCACGCTCAAAGGCTAAGTATATCCATTCGCAAGGAAATGCAGCCAGCGTTCTTGGCACTATACCGCGGGAAGTAGAACTGCATGATAATTTAAGTTTTTAGTTTTAGTATTTAGTATGGTTGTATATATTTCAATATAATGTAAATAAATTATAGTACTTCGATATAATTCATAATATAATATATGTGAAAGGAATAACTTACCGGTTAAATCGACAGCCTCGTCATAACTGTAAATGGTATCAGAACTCTTAACTTTTCTTTCTAAGTCAGTAGTCATCTCTATTCACTTACAATATCATCAACTACACAAAATATGTGATTTAATTAATATTTAACTGATTAAATCCAAACGCCACACAGCTTTATCTTTGTTTTATGGCATGACTATCGTAATACACGTAAAAAACATGTAGACATCCTTAGTAATCTAATAGTACTACTATATTTTAACATAATAAGGTGTACCACATTTCAGTCCTATATATCCGTCACCAACTCATACGAGAAACACGTTTATTGTATTCCAAAAAAAAGTGTTCTCTTTTAAGAAAATATAATAAAGTAATTAAATTACGTAACGACACGTGAAACTAATATTAGAATGCGGTTGGTAAATTTGTAATTTGCAACAAAAATTACTTTGTGTTTTCTTATCAAAATCAGTGACATTTGTAATTTGAATCTTTGTAAATATAGACGTATTCGTAAGGTAGAATAGATATAATTGAGTAAACAACGAATAGATAACGGAACTGTATACCTCAGATAAGTAAATTAATTGTAGCTAATGTGAGATGTGAGATGTTTTCCTTCACCGCCGAGCTGGCGTGGTAGCGTGGTAGCGTGGTAAATCAGCACTAAAAATTGAAATTAATAATTTCATTGGCACCGGTGATGATGGAAACCGAGTATCTCGCGTACGGTGAAATTTAAAACGAGCGCTTAGCCCCCAACTACTACGATTCCAGTTTTGACGTGAACATTTTATTTTATTAATTTACGTGGTAGAGTCACTCGACTGGAGAAGAACTACGGTCTCACAGCACACCAGCGTGAAATAGCAGCTCAATGCTGTTGTGTTTCATATGGTAAGTGAAGAGAACCGGAGCCCTTTTTTACTGGAAACAAAGCATTCCATCTCAGTCCTCAGGGGCGACAACGCATCTGCATTTTGATTGTTATTCGAGGATAAATGTAGATGTCTATGGGCCACAGTATGCACTTACCATTAAGTGGTGTATGCTCGTTTGTCACCCTTTTTCTATAAAATAAAACTCCTTGTTAAAATAATAAATTCTATATTTAAAAAAAGTGCTTCACTATCATCATTTCACCATCAGGTATGCGTAACAGTAAGCTAGTACTGATAAGCGTAATGTAGGGCGGCTTAGATGAAGATACGGTTTATGGTTTGGTAAGAGATGCAGGGAGTCTATGAATGCAGGTGGCTCAGGACCGTGTTTGTGGAAATCCTTGGGGGGGGGGGGGCAGTGGACTCACAATGGGCTGTTATGATGACGATGATGATGATGATACATATAAGTAAATGTACTTATATTACAATAACTATGCAAAATATTTAATCATCAACGTGAAATAAACAGAAAACTGTGACAGAGACTGAGTTGATCCTGTTTGCTAAAAATGGCACGATATTCTAAAACAAAATTAAAAATATTTACTAAGCAACTTACGAAAACATAAAAATTATCTCATCTTAATTTACAATACATAATATTATACCTTTCTTAATATTTATTGTTAGTAAAGGCATGTTAGATAACATGAGATAAGTAGCTATATAGTATATACGGAGTCATAATCGCGGCGGCATAGCAAAAAAGTGGCTAAGTATTGGAAAATGAGTGTCGCGGCTTCAATCTTTGCCTGCAAAAATTTTTTTTATGGAATAAGGGTCACAAACGAGCAAACAGTCTTCTTGATGATAAGTAGATGGTGTGTTTCATAGACATCTACATCTATATTCGATTAAGAATCAAAATGCATATGCGTTGTCACCCGTGAGGACCAAGATGGAATGCCTCGTTTCCAGTAAAAAAGGTCTCTGATTCTACACTCACCATACGAAACTCAGCAGCATTGAGCTGCTATTTCACGCTGGTATTCTGTGAAAGCGTGGTTCTTCCCCGGTCGAGTTGACCCATTTGTGCTACAACCATAGTATAGCTGCAGCATGGCACTAACACGTAAAATCGTGTGCTTAGACTGTTTTTTCTAGCCTAGATAAGTTATCATGATACCTCGTTCTTCACATTGTAGATTGAATTCATAAAAATCATTGATTGAAATCCGTACCAGAGCTGTACCCTTGTCGTCAAAGATTAAAAGACTTAATGTGGACTGGTCTGAATGTTATAATAAAATAAACTTTAAAAGTAGTAAAAATAAAGAAAAGAAAGAAATAAATAGTTTATGCTGATTTAAAAGGCCTATAAATAAGAAAATAATTTTCTCATAACAGCACAGAACAATACTAGCTGTTCCCCGCGACTTCGCCCGCGTGGAGTTATTTTTCGCGGAACCCTAAAATAAAAGCAACCCAAGTTACTCCTTATAACATCAGCTATCTGCCAGTGTGTATAAATATTGACAAATATTAACATTAATATTTATAAGATACTAACGTCACTCACTTGTTTTGCCTTTCCGGAACCCCTCCACTAATACTTAAACTCTATGATATGGTATTAAAGTTCAAGTTGACTTTTAAGTATTATTACGAATCTTTTGTATGGGAATATAGAAAAGTGTTGTTAATAGACTTTTTCAGGCAATTTTTTTACATTTTTCTCTCCGTAAGAACCATCTTCATACTTCAAGGATTTTATTAAAAGTTTAATTTCTTGAACCCTTTGAGTGAACTAAAGAATATTAGAATCTCCAGGTGAGAACTACAGAACGCCATCTAAATGACTACATTAAAAACTCCATCCCCTATTTTACTACTTGGATCTTTTTTCTCTTTGCTTTAACTGACCCTTATTTCTTATTTAAAAGATATAAAAAATTACTATTTATTTAAATAGACTTAAGTTCATGTGTTCATATTTTCAAATATCATGTCGCGTCTAGACTTTAATCGTACAATATTAATCTATGCCACAGTATAGGTGCAGGTGGCGGATGTCGTGACAAAATAGAACGCGTTGATCTACTCGTATTAGGTCAATGTGATAAAGGCCTGTGCTAGGCCTTTAGGAAGTTAAATTATATATTATATATAGAATATATGTGTATAATTCAATAGTAGAATCAATCTAGATATAATAATTCGTGACTATTTGAGTAAACGAAAACATTGTGAAGAAACCTTTATGACTGTGAAATTAAAAACGGTTTCCAGTCAATCATTACAGAAGTTTTCCATGTCTCCACACTAGAACAAAAGAAATTAAAAATTGCGCATATCTTACAAGGCGCTTTGATACATTTCTACTACTTCTGCAGTTCTCATCTTGGCGTTAATCAGAAATTTTTTGGTTATATTTATACTCTATACTTACAAATAAATAAAATTGAAGTGTTTGTTTGTAATGTCAAAATAACAGCTTTTTACTAAATGCATATGAAAGTATATACGGTACTGATAACAAAAACACAAGTTTTAACATTTTTGTATGTCTGTCTGTCTGTTTGTTCCGACTAATCTCCGCAATGGCTGGACCGATTTTGACAGGACTTTCACTGGCAGATATCTCATGTTATAAGGAGTAACTTAGGTTATTTTTATTTATTTTTTAAATTAGGGTGTCGCGCCAAAAAAATTTAAACACATTAAATTCAATCGTAATAAATTGCACGCGGGCGAAGTCGCGATGAACAGCTAGTTTTTTTTTATAAAAATGAAAAAATCATGCACTCAGCTTCAAGCAAAGATAGCTGTAGATGCGTTGTCACCCTTGAGGACTAAGATGCCTAAGGACTAAGATGGACTAAGGCCTATGATTAAAGTGCCTACCCTACAGGCCGGAACACACTGCAAACACTGTTATTTGGCGGCAGAAATAGAAAAAGGGGTGGAAAAAGGGTGGTGTCGACCTAGACGGTTTTGTAGGCAGAAAAGAATTTTTAACAATTAGTAATAAAGTTTTTAAACGTGGTAGTGCCATGCTGCAGCTATATTAGTAGTATAGTTACTAGCGTACTCCTTTTTAAAAGGCCGGCAACGCATCTGCGATTCCCCTGGTGTTGCAGTTGTTCATGGGCGGCGGTAGTCACTTACCATCAGGTGAGCCGCATGCTCGTTTGCCCACTCTCCTATAAAAAAAAAAGTTGTAGCACGAATGGGTCGGCTCAACCGGGGAAGGACCACGCTCTCACAGAATACCAGCGTAAAATAGCAGCTTAACACTGCTGTGTTTCGTATGGTGAGTGTAGAGAACCGGAGACCCTTTTTGATCTGCATTTTGATTCGCATACATAATAATAATAATAATAATAAGCCCCCTAAACAACCACACGTCCTGATTGACCATCTAATCACGTGGGGGGCGGACACACGAATGAGAAATTACTGGCGTGGCTAACGTGGCTCTGGAAACCCATAAAAAATGGAGACTCGTTCTAAAAGTAAACGTATAGGGCCGCTGCCCGGGGGCGATCGCCGGGGCGCACCTGGAGCTGACGCTGGGTGTCTCAGCATGCGAACCGTCAGCGGTGAGGAGTTGAACAGGCGGGCTCCCACCGACAAAGATGCTACAGCCGAAATCATTGACGATGGTGATCGACTGACGGACAGGACGGACACCCCTGTAGAACAGTATAGACCTAGCACAGTATCATACACACCCTCAAGACCATCCATACCATCGTCACCAATTCTTTCATCACCCCCCATCATTAGTTTAAATACAGTTCCACCCACTTCCACTTTGAATGCTGCGCGGGGGGTATCTACCTTCTTACCTGCGTCCACCAAGGCTGGAAAAGCAAGAGTTCGCATGAAATGGAGTAAAGATGTAAATCTATTTATCATGCGAACTTATCTATATATTACTAAATTAGAGACCGATATGACCGCCTATAGACAACAATTACATGCACTTTTCACTCGACAATATCCAGAAATTACTGTTTCAGAACAAAGAATCTCAGACCAAAGAAGAACCATAGTTAGGAATAAACTTCTATCTCAAGAAGAAATAAATCAATTAAAAGAAGAAGTACGAATACAATTACTGGAAGAAGAAGTGGTTAATAATTATGGAGATATTAATAATACTAAACAAAGCACAAATGAAAATAGTCATCATGTAC